AAGTTTTCCATCGTGGGTTCAGTCTATACTTGTGATGGTGTCTGTGCTCTTTAGGGTGATGGTGCTTTGCTGCAACTGAGCAGTGGTATTGGAAGATAAGTAGTGATCCATGTGAATGAATCTTCTCAATAACTGCTAATTAGTCTTCTTGTTATCAATGCTTACCACAGTTTTTGAAGTAACCCAGGTAGCTTATGATGCATCTGCCTAGATGTCATGAAGTAGTGAGGAGACAACTCCTACAGCAAGAATAATAGTGCCTTGAGCATCCAAGTGAGCACTCTACTGGGTGATGAGCTATTAGACCCTATATGCTTATTTACCAGAGTTAGAGAATCCTGGGAGAGGGGCTCGGAAGTTGGGTCAGTGGTAGAGAGCTTGCCTTGCATGCTTGAGGCCCTGGGTTTAATTCCTCAGCACCACATAAGCAGAAAAAAAAAAGCAAGAGAATCCTGGGAGAATTTGATAAGAAGATATCTTAAGTGATGGGTGAGGATTTAATGTAAATTATTAAACCTTAGACAGTTATTTCTTACCCTGTTGCCCAGAGGTTTGCTTTATTTTATGGCTGGCAAAGAGCAAGTAACTGCTTAATGGTATGTGTTGGACTCTTAGCTTGTGGCTGTGTGGTCTAAGTAAAATTGCTGAAAAGTGAGCTTTTGTCACATACTGGTCTGCATAATTGTGCTCCTTTCAAGATGAACCCCCCATTTTTGTTCAGTAAGTATGATCACGCTCTTTAGAAATGGAAGGCATTTTTATTTAAGCTTCAGTTTGATTATGAGTTGTGCCCACACTCCCTGCCATGTCCTAAAAATATTTCTATTGAGATAGTTAGGTCCCAAAGGGAGTAAAATTTTTAGCAAACAATAGGAACACAATGCTGCCTTACTGAAGTTTGGGCCTGAGTATGTTTCTTTTTCCTTTGAAACTTTGAGTCTGATTGTCCCATTTTTTAAAGGCTTTCTGTTCTTTGTTGTTGTTGTTGTTAATGCTGGTCCCTGGACTTGAACTCTGGGCCTGGGCACTGTCGTTGAGCTTTTGTTCTTGTTTTAATCAGGGCTCTTCCACTTGAGCCCCAGCTCCATTTATGACTTTTTGGTGGTTAATTGGAGGTAAGTCTGATGGACTTTCCTGCCTAGGTATATTTGAGCCATCATCTTCAGATCTCAGCTTCCTGAGTAGCTAGGATTACAGGCCTGAGCTGCTGGCACCAGCTGTTAATCATTAAAAAAAATTAATTAGACAATTCAATGTCCAGTGTCTTTCTTGAGTGTCTTCAGTTACTGTATTCTAGTTTAATTTCTTAATGGTGGTGGGGGTTGAACTCAAGGCTTTCTGCTTACTAGGCAGGTGATCTACCAACTAAGTTACTTCTCCAGATCTTTTGTAATATAGTTATTTTCAGACAGGGTTTCACAATTTTTGCCTGGAGCTACTCTCAGAGTTATACCTAGGACTTCTTCACATCTGGAATTACAGATGTGGAACAGCATTCCTCTCTTGTTTGTTGAGATAGGGTTGTCACAGATTTTTTCCCCCAATTGACTTTGAACTATCACCTTCTCCACCTGCTATGTTAGTGTTCTTATTGATACGTGTATATTGTTTTTAAATCAACTGAAAGTGGCTGGTTTTGGCCCAGTTATCTTGTATTTTATCCCCACACCTTTCTTAAGGCTCTAGAGAAAGATGGTACAGAACCGATATAGCTGCTATACTCTTTCAAGAAATTTATAAAACTCGCCAGGTGGCTCACGCCTGTAATCCTAGCTACTGAGGAGGCTGAGATCTGAGGATCACAGTTCAAAACCAGCCCAGGCAGGAAAGCCCGTGAAACTCTTATCTCCAATAAACCACTAGAAAACCGGAAGTGGCGCTGTGGCTCAAGTGGTAGAGCGCTCGCCTTGAGCTGAAGAGCTGAGGGACAGCGCCCAAACCCAGAGTTCAAGCCCCGAGATCAACCAAAAAAAAAAAAAAGAAGAAATTTACAAAACTCATAAAAAAAAAAAAAACCAGACTGTGAGTGCTTTCACAGTACCATGTTTGAGGCTAGACTAGGATAGGCACAAATGATGCATTTACTGAACCTACAAAGTTATATGCTAGTTGAAAATGAACAACCAGCCATTATAAGGAGCAAATATTCCTGGGTGTTGTGGGAACACAACAAATACAGTGGCTACAACTAAACTATAAAGGAAGGCCTGAGAAAGAAGTGGTTTTCTTGGCCTGTTCTTGTAATGTGAAGGGGTTTACTCTGACAGTTATGTCTAGAACTAAGTCATGACTGACTTTTCTGTACATGTATTCAGGACTCTCATCTGTTTGCCAATTGATGGAGATTTGTTGGAGGATATTTGAGAGTCTTACTCTAATCATCTGAAGACTGGATTGAGGCAGATACAGATTAAGATGGTGCTCTTCAAACATGATTAGTATCATGAAACTACAATTTCAAGGTTTTTTTTTTAAATTTGTTTTGTTTTTAACATGAAGTCTCATTAAGTATCCTAGGCTAGCCTCAAGCTCATAATTCTCCTGCCTCAGTCTTTTCAGTGCTAGGCTATAGGTGTATGCCAAAGGTTCCTGGCTTGACCCAGAGGTTTAAAACATCTTGTTTGATATAGCAATGAGATCCATGGTCCCTAAACATAGAAAATACATTTTACAGACCTTGAAGAAATACAGCTAATGTTATTGGTGATTTCAGTTTTAAATTACTCTGTGGTTTGCTATATGTTTACCTGCTGAACTACTGTTACATTTTTCTGGAGTTTGGGGTGTGAATGTGTAGTTTGACCTTGGAAATAATTAGAGCTGCTTAGAAAGCCTTTCTGTCTTAGTTCCATGAACCTAGAGCTGTGTTTCTTGTGCAGATTTCCTATTAAAAGAACTTTCACCAGTGTTATGTACAAACTTACTAAGGCACTGTGTTTCCAGATGACTATGAACACTAAGTGAATCTTCAAGCAAGAGCTTGTGTACTAAAATTAAGTTGTGTTTGTATATTTAAATGTTGTTGCAGTAATTATTCAAATAGATTGTTATTATATTATTCACTTACAAAATTAGTTTCAACATTTTTCTTAATTGCATGAAAAGAATCTTCATAATATGCACTCTCTCTATATGGGTGTGTGTTTGTGTGTATATATATATATGTATTTATATATATATGTGTGTATGTGTGTGTGCAATTGTGTATATGTGTGATTTTTATATTGGTGATGGACAATTGCAGTGTTATGTATATATATATATATACATACACACATATACTGCTAGCTTGTTTTCTGTGGTTTGAAAATGAATGGTATAGAATCATTGCACATATAATTAAAAAACACCTGAATTGTAAACAACTTTATGGCAAATCTTAGGCTACTAACATTAAAAAAAAACAAATCCACTTGTACTTAAAAAAGCAATAATTGAAATATTCTTATTTTTACGTACACATATATTGTATAATCTTATAACTCCAGATCATTCAGTATAGGTTTTGTCTTTTTTTCCCTGACTTTTTCTATAGAAATTTCTCCATTGTATAACACACAGCCATACATTTATTTATTTATTTTACATTGTTGATTTTCCTATTGACATTTAAAAGGTTTAGTAAGCCTGGCTGCCCATGGGATCTTTCATGGATTGGCTCATGTATTTCTGAATCAGGTATGGAAAGTAATAAAATTATAATCTGGAGTATTTTCCTGGTATCTACAGTCTGTCTGTCTTATGGTTCCATCTTTCACTATTACCATTGATACCTTGCCTATTCTACACAGTGGCACTGGATTTTGTGACTGGAAAAATCTAAGCAGCATACATTGTTTCTTCCCTCCTTACCCCATCTGTTTTGGGTTTGACCTTGATCTGACCTGCTAATGCTTCTTCCTTTCAGCTGTTCTACCAGCAGTGACCCTGACTATGTTTTGTCCACTTGGAGTCATGGTCCTCTGCTTGTCTCTGCCTCAGGGTTCTGAAGTCTTTCCACTGTAGGTAGGATGAAGATCGCAGTCTAGAACAGGTTGATCCAGTTCTTCATAGTCTGCCATGCACTGACCTCTGGTCTCATTTTTATCTCTTTCAAATCACCTCCGCTTGTCCCATCTTAGGTTTAAAGCAAAATCGAACATGCCATGTTCCCAAAGAAAAAAACAAAAAATGCCATAGTCCCTTCAGCCCTGCCCTTGTACCTTCTTGAGGGCCCTTGACTGAGCAGACAGAAACCATTGTTTCCTCTGCACCCCACAACTCTTGGTTCATTCATCAGTTATAACCAATCTATATTGTTAAAGTTTGTTTGTACATCAGACTCCCCAACTAGACTGGGTCTTTCAAAGAATTACTTAAGCACAAATTATCCAGAGGCTAATGATCTTCACCGGGTAGCTATTCAGTTTGTAAAGAATTAGAAGAGTAGAGAACAAGAAACTATGTAAACAAAAGTAGAAGCATTGAGGTTTAAAGATGTATATGTACCTGGTAGGCCAAGTAATTTATAGTAACATCTTTTGAGTCATCTGTGACACTATTAGAGATAAGAGCATTGAAATGAACTTCCAGAAAATTGTATTCCCAGACTTAACAATATGAAAATATATCTTTATGATTCCTGGAATAGACATAGCACTCAGAATTGGCGTTAGAAAACTACCAAGCTGTGGAAAAGCTGGATAAAAAGCAAAGCTTTCTAAGGTTAGGACAGCTGAACACTGGCACCGCTTTGTTTGGCTTTGTTGCTATTGTGATATGATTATCAGTGAAGAAGACACTAAGCATTATTCACTCACATGTTCCCAAAGCCTTTTTGAATGTTTTTTTTTCAGTTTACAGATTCAAATAATCATAACAAACTATAACATTTTGTGCAGGAATCATTAATTAAGCATTAAAGATAAGAGACCACTCCATTTTTGTCACAAATACATAAATTGCATGAGTTGGAATAATTCTTTTAATTTCAAAGGAAAATGTGTTTTTTCCCCCTCCAGGGTTGAAAATGAGCCCATGAGCACAAGTCAGAAAAAGGAAAATGTATTGTCAACATCAGAAGCAGTAAAGGTATAGTTTTCAATTATAAATTTAATAATATTGTATTATTGATGTCATTACTGAAGACATTATCATCTTATGTAGTTGTTACAAAGCAGTTTATAAATATAATGCATCTTGATCAATGTCAATCCCTTCAACATTCTTACCTCCCTGTGATCCACCCTTTCCCTTACTTTTCTTAATTTTGTGGTATATACAATGCTGAGCAAATAAATTTGATGACGGAGCAGTTTTCCTCTTAGAATCTGACATTTAATTTTACATTTCACAAAAGGGCTTAGTTACTAGTTTCTGTGGACATGCAGCCCAACCCCCTAGAGGATGGACATTTGCATCATAAATTGGGGTACAAGTTGTGGGGAGGGGAGGGCGGTGGCTGGTAGAAGAACCCTGACAAGGGTGGCCTCAGCTTTGCCGTTATCCCAGGAATATGGTTTTCAGCAGATATCATTAGCTTCTTTGTACTTTTGTCTTTTTGGTCTCTAAATCAGATTGTATGACTTCTATGGTCTCTATTCCATAGAAAGTTGGAAGATTGAGGCTGATTTATGAAATGCCGCAGACAACTGCTGTTTGGGGTAGAAATTAATAACACGTTCCTCTAAGTCACTGCTGTGTGATGGATCTGCTTGGGCAGGTGTGAATTGGCCTTCTGTGATTCTTCGGGACAAGGATAAAATATGTATAAGCCACATACCTATCCATACAATTATTGGATAAGTGAGTGAAAAAATCCTTGAAAATGACTAAACTTTTCACCTTTTGTTGTTGTTGGTGGTAGTAGTTTGGTTTTCTTTTTGGTAGCCTGTGGGGCTTGAACTCAAGGCCTAGGAGCTGTCCCTGAGTTTTTTTGCTCCAGGCTAACACTCTACCATTTTGAGCCACAGCACCACTTCCAGTTTTCTGGTGGTTAGTTGGAAGATAATAGTCTCACAGACTTTCCTGCCCTGGCTGGCTCTGAACCATGATCCTCAAATCTCAGCTTCCTGAGTAGCTAGGTTTACAGGTGTGAGGCACTGGCTCAGCTTACCTGTCTTTTAATATGTGATTTAATAAGGAAGTTGGATGCTTGTGTTTATTGATCAGGTGTGTAATCAGTGACCAGGTGTGTAATCAGTGACCAGGTGTGTGATGACAACCATGGCTTTTGATATCAGTTGCTTTGTTTTTTTACATGGTTTGTGACAGCCAGTCAAGGAGAACGTGCAGTCTCTAGGGATTTCAGGACCAACTAATTTGGTCAGTGGAAGAATGGAAACACTCATGTGAATTTTCATTCCTGGTATCAATACTTTCTTAACATGTTCTTTTAAAACAATGTGAAATACAAGTGGATTAAATAGTGTAAGATTAAAGTTCACATTACTTACTCTTCATGCTAGTGAAAAATACTATTTGTTTTATTGAAAGAATGAAAATCAGAATCATTTTAGTTTCTACTTTTCTTTTTCTTTTTTCTTTCTTTTTTTTTTGGTGCTGGTATTGGGCTTGAACTCAGGGCCTTGCTCTTTTTATTCCACTTGAGCCACCATTCCAGTTCTGGCTTTTTGTGATTAATTGGAGATAAGAGTCTCACTGGCTTTCTTGCCTCAGTTGTCTATGAATTACAATCCCCAAACCTCAGCTTCCTGAATAGTTGGGATTATAGGTGTGAGTGCTTAGCTGCCTTTTTTTTTTTTTTAATATTCTCTATTTTTGTTTCTCTATTTTCTTTCCTCTTCTTCCTCCCATACTCCTTTTCTCCTCTTTTGTTGTTGTTGGTGGTGGTATTTTGAGACAGGAGTTTACTATGTATCCCAACCTGGTCTTGAACTTCAGAACCTCCTGCTTCATCCACATGAGTGCCTGGCTTTCGTATTAGGTTTTCTAGCATCTTTCACCTCTTTCTCTTCTGCAGAAAATACTTGGTTACCCTTCTGACTTACTCTTTTCTGGTCCCTTAGGGTTCTGCCTGTTGTTCTCATTTAAATGATCAGAGTTACCTTTTACTTTTTTTTTTTTTTTTACTAGTTCTGGGGCTTGAACTAAGTGCCTGGATTCTGTCCTTGAGCTTTTTTGCTCAAGGCTATAACATTCTATGATTTGAGCCATGACTCTACTTCTAGCTTTTTGAAATAGTTACTTGGAGATAAGAGTTTCAAGGACTTTCCAGCCTGGGCTGGCTCAAACCACAATCTTCAAATCTCAGCCTCTTGATTAACTAAGATTATATGCATGAGCCGGTGGCACCTGACAAGATTTTTGTTTCTAATGCTAAAAATGATATAGCATTCTGTTACCTCTGACATCTTAAACTATTTCTTTGGCTACGAACTTTCCTCTCCATCCATCTCCTAATTCCTTATTACCACTATATATTCTGGAACTTTACCAATCCGTCCTGCTTTCTTCGCTCCCTCTTCCTTCAGTCTTCATTTGTTTCCTTACTTGGCCTGTACCTGTGGTCTACTATTTCAGCTGCACTTTCACTAAACACACACACACACACACACACGCAAAACCTTACACACACACACACACACAAACACACACGCAAAACCTTACACACACACACACACGCAAAACCTTAAGTCCTCCAACTTGGATAAACTCAGGCTTTTATTCCCAGTCATCTAAGCCTCTTAAATAAATACCACTCCATCATCATAAAACTCTTGCTCTTATTACTTGGGAATTTTAGGCTGCTTACATAGGTGAATATGGCTGTCTTTCTCAAGTAACATTTTGGCTCACATATTTGTTTTTCTTTTCATCTTTCTTTTGACTGGCTGGATTTCTTTTAGCCACACAGTCACAGTTGTTCAGGACTGTTGCTATCAGGTATCAAATAAATATGCATTTTGGTAATGCCAGCCTCAGCTTCATGCCTTACAAGGGAAAAAATGGTTAAATAAGGAAAAGAAGGTTAAAAAGAGGTGAGCAACAACATGTACTATATTGCTATTTTCACAGTTTAAACAGAAGGCCCTTTTCATTTTCTTTTCTTTCTAATGAATGAAACACAGAGCTCTACTGAGGACTTGACATTCCTTCCATGCTTCCATCTTGTTAGCCTCAATTTTCTGACTCTGATAAGAAAATTATTTAAGAAGAGTATAGGGCTATATAAAGATATATTGTATATACTATGTTATATACATATTGAGAGATAAAATATGCAGATCTAATGTATTATAGATCTATCTCTCTCTATATAGAAGATCTGTCTATATATAGGTCTTCATATGTATAGATCTATATCTATTTGCAATCTATTATATATAATATGCATAATCTACCATATCCTACAAGTATCTATAATTAATAGGTAATAGTTATATATCTATTTATTTGTCTGTGTAGTATTATATACACATATATTTATCTTTTTGTGTCTATTTAGCTCTGATCTACCAAGTCAAAGTGGCAGAGATAGTTATTTGAAAAGCTGAACATAAATTGACTATGCTTAAGCAATTGTAGTGATAAAGTCTCTTTGGACCTCATTAATTTCTTTTTCTTACAATATCTCTTCTATGCTACATAAATGTAGCTTAATTAATTTTAACACTAATTCATCTCATGCAATATATATAACAGGTTTCTGTATCTAGCTGGAGAAACTTTCAGATATTTAGCCTACATTTTACCCTTGTCTTTATCCTTTTTGCATGTACATCCACTCCATCTAAAAAGGTCAAAATATGTTGCTATACCCTGCCTCATATTACCTATTTTAGAGAAATAGTCATGTCTTTCTCCCTTTCCATGATTAACTCCCTAAGACCTGTATAGCCATGCTGTGGGCAAGTAGTACTAGTAGCTCTGCTTCCTGCCTGCTCTGTTTCCTGGTTTTTCTATATTCAGCACTCTACTTTCACTGGCTTCTTCACTTTTCTCCCAGCTTTTCCTGTGCATATTTAAATTTACAAATAATTATTTTCATGGGTCTGACTTCCTTGCCTTTCAACATTTTAACCAAAAATGTCTTTGGAAAATCAGTCTTTAATTACTGCCAGTTCTTAATGCATTATAGTCTGGCTCTTGTCTTCTTTAGTTACTTTGGATATGAGAAACCTAGTAGTTTTTTATGTTGGTCACACATGTCATAGATGTATGCCATAGTTACTGAATGAGAACCACTTCATGAGATCAGTATATTGAAGGACACTGAGGACTCTTTTTTCCTCCTCTTCTTCCTCCTCCATTTTCTCCTCTTCCTTGTCTTCCTTTTTCTCCTTCTTCTTCCTTCTTCTTTCTCTTTCTTCTTATTTTTTATGATGGAAATTAAAGACTTTCAAATGAGAAATTGTCCTTATGCCCTGTGTGTGTGTGTGTGTGTGTGTGTGTGTGTGTGTGTGTGTGTGTGTGTGTGTATGTGTGTGTATGTGTATGTGTTTTGAGATAGGGTTGCCCTAACTAACTTTGATCAGCTGATACTTCTGCCCCAGTCTTCTGAACAGCTAAGATTATGGGCATGTACTACCACATTAACCTGGCTCACTGGTAACCACTTGGTTATGTCCAGTAGCTTTTTCCCCCATTCAGTTCTTACTCAGTTTATCCATGGGGTGAAAAATTCACTTTTTAAACCTTGCTTTCTTTTCCAAAACATTTCTTTGGCTTGTCTTTACTTTTATGATGTGCTTTCTTGCTTCATTTTCTACCTCTGGCTAATTTTTTTTGTCTGTTTGCTTCACTGATTCTCTTCTGGCTGAATAACTTTTCATATAAATGGTTCTCAAAGTCAATCATCTAAAGTGACCTCTTCTGGTGTTATGGCTCCAGACCTCAGCCTGATGTTCTGAGATTTGATGGTAATCAACATTCCAGACATTTCTGGAATGTGGTTGCCCCTTTGGTGGCTCCAATTCACTCTGCCTAAAAGTCTCAGTATTTTCAGATGTATTCTAGCATGTTTGTGGATTTTTGTTTGTTTGTTTGTTTTGGTGGTTGTGGTATTAGAAAGTTGGGAGAATCATCTAACTAGGATAGACAAATAGCCCTGGGGCTCAATTCCTCCATTT